TGAGCTGATGTCCTCTGGGGGGCGATATCTATTCATCTATGAATAATGAATGGTAATGCCTGACCTCACAGTTGTGTTTTTCAGAGTACTGCAGTAACTTCACACGTCAGTATTCCAGCGCAGTAATGAGGGAACTCAATAATAAATACAACACAATAAATAATCACAGACTGACTTTGACTGACAGTTCTGCTCTGTGGATTAGCCGTTAGCTTCAGCACAGTCCAAATCCTCTGGACGAGGTTTGAGTTCATGATCTGTGTGAAACCAGAGACTCAACAACTCTGTGATAGAGAGAGAAGAGGAGAGGATAGAGGGAGGGAGGGAGAAGGTGAGGAGTGACGGGTCCTGGCTGTGAACAGCTCTTTCAAACATTTGGACGATGCTTTTGAGGACAGGAGCCGCTCACGGAACCAGGCTCTCCACATCACAGGTTTTTTTATTTTTTTATTTAGACCTCATTAAACCAGGATCAAACCACTGAGATCTGGGATCAGGAAAGTCCTCGTCAGACACAGGGAGAACATGCAATTATGCATCCCAAAGCCCAGTGTCCCCTGTACGCCTCAGAGAGAGACAGGGACAAAGATTACAACTGAAACCAGAAGAGCCCCAAATTGAACAAGGACCATCTCCCCCCTTTTCTCATTGACTGACTCACTTTTACATGTGAAAACACCTCTCACATGTTGCACTATCTTCAGCAAACCACTACAACCTCCCGTGAGGTGGAGACTGGCTCACACTGATGGTGTGCACCCTCACAGTGTGCACCCTCACAGTGTGCACCCTCACAGTGTGCACCCTCACAGAGGGCAGGTGATCCATCAGACCATTTAAGCTCCTCAGTCTACTGCATAAGGCCAAAACTTACTGTGGAGGGGACACTGAGCTTTAGAGGTCAAAATGAATGTTGGACAATTGGTCTGGCAAAAACAAAGTATTAACCCTTCCATACTGTTCATTTCTTAAGCTTTCACAGTATGGTCCAGGTGAAATTTGGTCCAGACCAAGAATTCCCTTACAGTAAGTGTCTATACCAAATAAATAGACTGTCCCACTTGAATAAATATATGTAATATATAAATATAATGTTTGAGAGAGCAGGAAGAACATATTTCTGTAAGTTTTACAACACTTGTTTTTTTTTAAGAAAAAACATCTGTTATCACACAGTATCATGTTCTGTTTTATAAAACACATAAAAACATAAAAGACAATATGATGAAGATATTCACTGCATTTGGAAATGACATGCGTATTCTGGAACTGTTGGAATTTATAATATAACCATTTTTATCCTCTGCAGCTATTATGCTTATTTCAAACTAGTCAATGCATTCAAAGCAGTGGTATATAAAAGTATAACATTTTAAAATATTTTAATTTTTGTGTATTTTGGCAAAATTTTGGAAAAGTCATCAAATTTCAGTATCAAAGAATGATGTTTAGTGTATGTTTACCACTGATGAATGTCAAAACGGGTCGCCCCTCCCCCCTGACTCTCCCTTTTAGTCCTCGAAGGTTTGAAATGCAGTTGCAGGTCGGAGTTTAGATCTTTGACATGTGTTCGTGTTGTCGTACCTCGAACCACGAGCCTGGCCGTGGTCTTGAGCTCCTCCACACAGAACATGAAGCTGCCCGTGTCGTCCACGCTCAGGTGAGTGATGGTCAGACTGTGCACCAGGCCCTTGCAGCTCATCCTGAAGTGAGTGCTGGCTTTGAGCTTAGTCCCGTTTCGGAACCAGGTCCCAGGCAGATCCGGGTGGGAAAGGTGCACCTCGAAGGACGCCGTCTCCCGCTCCGTGGTCCTTATATCGGACAGACCCTTTGTTATGGAGATTCGACGAGCTGCAGGAGGAAAGGAGGTTTAAGTTTAGGAATGAAAACCAGACTGATACACGCCATATTTTACAGACACTCTACCTGATCTTTACTGTTTCATTTTGCAGTGGTTAATCTTCAATCAGAGCATCTGAATTATTCACCATGATGAGTTTATAAGTGCTTTTCACAACTTTCAGTGACCACAGGAGTTTTGCCAGCATGGGAATATTAAAAACAACAAGCATGCTAACTATGCACTTCCTGGTTCTTGGACAATAAAACACTTTAGAATTAGATGCAGACAGCACACAGAGGACTTATTTTAACCTCAAAAGCTGCAAGACACATTTTCATTTTTCCCCCATCAACCAAAAACATGAACCACAGGTCAAATCCTCCAGCTGAGGTACTCCTGACCAAGAGTAGCGAGTGTGATGTCACCCACAGCGTTCAGCTCCACTAAAATGAAGCTCGTGATTCTAATGGTTATAGGAGCAAACACACACGCTCTCACACACACACACACACACACACACACACACACACACACACACACATACATGAATGGTCAGGTAATCTTGATTTGTTCAGTATTATCATTATTATTACTGTGGTTATTATGAAATTAGTGTTAATGATGAGTTCTGTTAACCTGATTCATCACACGCTTTCACTTTGTGGAAACTGTCTGACCTCGCAGCACTCATTAGGATTCATTCGCTCGATGGTAGGCGGGTACTTTTTTTAATCTACACTCAGTGGTGTCCAAGTAACTGCCGGAACAACAGCAAACAAAGCAGAGAGTGAACATGTCTGTCAGTGATCATCGTTTCTATGAGATGAACTTGCGAATTAAAGGTGCAATAAAAAATGTGAAGTTTGTATTTGACAAAGGAAGTCCAAAGGAGGATGGTGTCTGCACTCTGCTATCACAACTCGGGTTGGTTCTGCTCTTTGCTGATTGGCTGGTGCACACTCTACAACTTCTTGCAAAGCATCTAATTAATTAATTAATCAATCAATCACTGCATTTATATAGCACCTTTCAAGATACCCAAAATGCTTTACAATTCATGATTAATTCACTCAACACTCAGTGGTGGTTAACTACTACTGTAGCCACAGCTGCCCTGGGGCAGTGAGGCTACAGTAGTAGTTCCTCACTGCCACTACCATCACTCACGCACACACCACTTTCATACTAGGCCATGTGGGTGAAGTGTCTTGCCTAAGGACACAACGATTTTTGCCACTGGCGCCCCCTGTGGCACCTGGAATTCCCAGTGGTCTCCCTTCCAAGTTCTACCCAGGCCCAGCCTGCTTAGCTTCTGAGATCTGACAGGATCAGGCTTTGACAAGCTGGTATGGCCACAAGTGTCTTGTGTATTCTGGTTCCTGATCTAGTCGCAGGAGAGAAATGAGCTTGAGCAGAGGCACTAGGTGACACCAGCCTGGCTAGAGTTCTGTGTGGCCATTTAACATTTTTAAGTAAATAACATAGAAATTTATATTTTTTATAATATTTTTAAAGTTTGTGTCGGTGCAGCGTTGAGTAAGCTCCATATTAGGAAAAGGATTATTTTAAAGGACAAAATAGCAAAATAAAAACACCAGGATCGTGTAGAGTGGGTTAATATGGAGACCAAAATGATGAGGCTCACAGCAGCAGGTACAGACAGAGAGACGACAGTATTCCAATGTAGGTCCATGGGAGACAAGGGTCAGGACGAACCGGAAGAGCCGCATGAGAACCTCCTGTCTGGAACACGGCGACTATCGTGTTATGTCCCTTTATATACACAGTCTATGCTCCTGACAGGGACACTGCCGGGTGGGTCAAATGCAGAGGACTCATTTCCCTATGGGGACAAAAAAGTGTCCCTGTCTCCTCTCCCCCTCCTCTCTCTCATTCCCCTCCCTTTCTCTATCTCTCCCTATCTCCTTTCTGTCACTTTCTTGGTAGCTGGTATACATCTGTATCCTCTTTCTCTCTTCCGGTCAAACTCCCTCCCTCTCTCCGTCCCCCCTCTCTCTCTCTCTTGGCCGATGGTATTCCTCTGTCTCCTCTCTCATTCCGTCTATATTTACTCTGGCCTTGTTGAGAGCTTGTTGTCATCGGGTCTCCAAAATAAACATCTTTTTTTTCCCCGCTGGCCGCTGTCTGTGTGTAAGTGTGTATGCGTGTGTGTGTGCTGATAAAACTCAAATATGCCGTGGTAAATCCAGGACTTCATTTATTAAAAGACTGTTTGAGGCTCGGCGCGTTGGTATTGTTTTATGGACTAGAGGCTCATCTCTGAACTGGACTCAGATCAAACCGCTCAGAGTCACGTGCAGGTTCTGTTTCTCCTCTTGTGTTTGGTAATCCAGATATGAAATGTTTTCGGTAACTGAAATATGAAACGTTTTATACATTAAAGGTCCGATATTACACAAAACTGACTCCTGTGAGGTTTATGCCGTGTTATAGTGTTGTTATCTCCTCAAAAACATACCATAAGTTTCATTCCAAAAAAGTAATAGTAGGAGTAATCCTTTATTATTAGTCTATCTACATCTCTGAAACTCAAAATGCCCTATTCCACCTTGTGATGTCATGGATAGGTAGATGTCATGTTCAGGACAGATTGGATATTCCAGGGCTGAAATCATTCAAATGATTCTAGTGAAGGTGTACGAAGTTACATTTTTTAAACTTTTGAGCTCATTTTTCAAGTTTAGTGGAGTATTTCCTGTATCACCATATCATGACATCACAAGTGTACAGATCTTAGCCAGACAAAAGAAAAGAAAGGTTTTGAAACAGGAGTGAAAGAGGCTATTTTTGTGAGGAAAGACGATCTATCTTTGAATCGAAATGAAGGGTTCAGACCTCATCTCTCTCCTATTTACAACTCCATCCACAGACCTACATCAAAACAATGACAACAACAACAACAACAACAGCAAAAACAATAGTGATTGCCTGTATGCTCAGAGGTGTGAAAGCTCCCATCAGGGGCCTGAATGATTCTGTGAATATGACTCAGGCTCAGTCCCACCTAGATCAGTTCAGACTGAGTTAACAAAAAGAAACTGTAAATAAGTAGGTGTGTTAGGCTATGTTCAGACTGCAGGGCTTAATGCTCAATTTTTTATGTGAAATCCGATGTTTTTGCGAGGTCGTTCACATTTCCAGTTAATTGTGACTTGTATGTGAACTTCAGTGTGAACTTTAAACACCCCAAAAATGTCCCACATGTGCACTGGAGGACATGATGACATCACACACAGCGAGTGTGCTCACTGTTTACGGAAGCAAATTAAACATGCATCAAGCCCCTGGAGGTTTTAAAGCTGCTGTTGTACCAGAGCCAGAACATGTACAGATGATTTGTTTCAAGGAGGAGATTGAGAAGGAGAAAAACTAGGTTTTTGGTCGTGGTGTTTTGTGGGGCAGTGGCAGCAACGTCCGGAGAAAAGAACATGTGAGTGCAGAGTCACAGAGTGGAGGGATTGATCTGTGCTTCACTGCTTCACTCACACAGAGTCACACAGTTTTCATCTGACGAGAACAACATTTGTGTACATTTGTGAGTGCCTACTTGTACCACTGTTGTGGACAAAACACATCTTCAGCGGCCTATTTCAGCGAGTAAACACATGCAGCCTCATGTCAAAAGATCAGATATGCATGGGTTTTGGGAGCACATATCCAAGTGGCCTGGTTTACATTTGATTTGATTTTACATTTGTCATTAAAAGATCAGATACAGGAGCATAGGGGAAAAAATCAGATTTGGGTCACTTCAGGCTGCAGTCTAAACATAGCCTTAGTTTCAGAGTAGTTTCAGTGCAGTTAGCTCCTCTTGTCAGGCAGATATAAGGAAGTGTCCACCAGCATCTGACCAGAACTGAAGAAGCAGTTTGGATGAGCTGAGAAATGTATTTGACCAAAAACTTTTTTTGATAAAATATTGATAACTGATCATTTTACTGTGGATCCTAGCTGAATTACACAGACATGTGTGAATGAAACAAAAGTCCAGGTATGTAATAGATTTGAGAGCTTGTGCCACGCCTTTTTATTAGTCGACTAATCAATTAACAGCACATGTTTTTAGTCCACTGAGAATTTCTTAAGTCTACTACAGTTTTACTTCTTTGTCTGTCCTGTACACACATGTTCTTAGCGTGTTGTTTACTGCTGTATCATTAGTGTGTTGTGTGTTCTTGGTGTGTCATGTACACACATGTTCTTAGAGTGTTGTGTGTTCTTGGCATGTTGTGTGTTCTTGGCATGTTGTGTGTTCTTGGCATGTTGTGTGTTGTTGACGTGTTGCGTGTTGTTGGCGTGTCCTGTACACACATGTTCTTAGTGCGTTGTGTGTTGCATGTTGTTGGTGTGTTTTTGGCGTGTTGTGTGTTCTCAGTGTGTTGCGTGTTATTTGTTGTGTTGTGTGTTGTTGGCATGTCCTGTACACATGCTCTTAATGTGTTGTGCATTGCTGTCGTGTCGTGTACTCACGTGTGACGGTGAGCTGGGCTTGGGTGCGGTCGTGCAGAGTCTCACAGCTGTACTTCCCGCTGTCGGACAGAGCCAGGCGCTGGACCCTGAGGCTGTGTGTGCGACCCCGCTTCAGGAGGCTGTACTTGGGCCCGGCGTGGAGCAGGACCCCCTGTCTCATCCACTGCACCTCCCCCGAGTCCTCGCTCACCTCCACCTCCAGAAGAGCCTCCCCGAACTCCTCTGCTGACACCGCCGACATCTGACGCGTGAACACCACCTGCGGCTCTGGGAAACAGTCAAATAAGACAACATATCAGTTTAGATCTCTGGGAAATCCATGCAACTTCTAATATTTTGAGGGCTTCTCACCAGTCAAAAGATACACTACTGTTCAAAAGTTTTAGAAAAGTCTTCCAGTTATTTATTGCAATTCAAGTGCAAGTCCAATGAAGAGCTTGAAATGGTACAAAGGTAAAAACTGAACAGACAGAGGTAAAAAAAAAAAAAAGAAAGATAAAAGATCAAAACACAAGTCCAAGCTCTGCCAAAACTACCTCAGGAAAAGCTCTTATATCTGCCAAAGGTGGTCACACACATCAATCAAACGTTTAGAAAACGTTTTGGTCAACAAGTGGAAAAAGCTTGGCGGCAGTGTACATTTAAAGGGCCTGTATTATGCAATTTTCTAATCTATGGGCCCGGTCAAGCAGAAGTAAACATCAAGGCCAAAAATTCAAGTTAATGCATCTGATATAAAAATGTATTGAACAGATACATATGTACTCTAGTTTATGAAACTGTTGACCTTTTTTTCTGTTCCATTTTTGGTTCTAAAGTTCCATATGTTTTAAACAGACCATGTATGAAACATGGAACAAAAATTATTTCCCAAATTTCAAAGACCTGCAAATCATGTCAATAAATGGATGTATTTCATCATATCTTGTGTTATTCCATCTTTGAACTGTTGATGAAGGTACATGATTTTTCAAAAAAATGTATTTAAAATTATAAAAATTTGCTTGAAAGGACTGACATATTGACATACTGACATATATCACAATTTTCCCTCCGTTACTTTTCGCTCCGTTACCATGACCTTTCTTAATAAAAAATCTCATGACTCAAAAAGTAAGAGGTTTTTCAACCTAATCTTGTACCATATGGTAGAAAACTATATGAAGCAAATATTCAAACCAGTTTGTTAAGGATATGGAAGTGAGAACCAAGAGTTATCACTGTTTGGATTTATTGCCCAAAAAGTGCTGTATATTTCATTCCCTCCGTTACCGACATGAGTTTTTAAATTTTTTGTCAACAACTTGAAAGAATATCACAGGTTTAACTTATTACTAGTATTAACTCTTTCCTACATTCTGATACTTTACTTATTTCAATAGTCCCTCTAGTTTCTGAATAAGAGACATTTGAATGTCAAAAATCTGCCCCTGTTTCCCTCCGTTACTGCTTGACTGGACCCCTAAGTTATAATTTAACTTCTTAGGTTCTTTTTAAAGACAATGCAGTAAAGTGTGTTTACATTGTTGACATGTTTCGGCTGCTGCATCTTCAGAACTGTCCCCGGTGTTGGTGGTGACGTGTCGTATATCAGCTGTTGTTACTTCCTGTAGGCGGGGTCAGCCTGATGGACCTGGCAGGTCGCTCAGACTGACCACGCCTCCCGTCGCCCGGTGTCTCTGGAGGAGGGTGTCCCAGGTGTGTGGAAGGAGGAACGCTCCGTCATCACGGTTAATGCTGTCTGTGCCTCTGTGACGGAGCAGGCTCGTCCCTAAGAACGCCGTCCTGGGGGAGAGCACGTGAAGATGCGCGCGCCCGTTTCGTAGTTATTGCGCACCGCTCGCCGTACCAGTTCCTACCAAAATCACTGTTTTACAATAAAATTCTCCCAACATCTCCTGCGTGTCTTTCCGCGACTAAGGATGCACACTTGGAAGCGCTTATTCAATTAATCTAAAGCACGCCAATCCAGACATTCACTTACCCTCGCGCCGCCGCCTTCGCCCTCCTTCCGTGGTGTGTACTGGCAAACCCGGACACATCCGCGCTGGGAGTTTAACCGGTCGTTGCGTGGGTTCCGGGAATCAGGTGTGCAACAACTAATTTGCATGGGCAATTAAATGTATTGTCTGTCTCTCAGACGTTGTATTTAAGACCTGTTCATTCTGGGCGCAAGCTATTACGGGTATATAACCATCGTGCTATAAAACATAGGCCGTTTGATGGTAGAAACGGCGAAATCATGATTATTGGGGGGAATTATGCAATGTGGGAGGGGCAAACCGGGAATATAAAGGTGCGCTCTCCAGCTCTGTGAGCAGTTGCGACCAGGTTACGGTGGAGGTAACTTATGTGGAGTGAGCCAGAGCGAACGAGCGACCGAGAGCGTGAGTGAGAGAGAAACTTTGCCGGACTTAAAGGGGAAGTCCACCACAAACTTTTGTCATTTTTGTTTTTCACACCACCACTGTAAATATTTTTCCACTCACGTTTGGCACCTTTTGCACTGTTGGAGAGCACAATAAATCACCAAAAAGCATTTCCTGCCTAAGCCTGAGTTTTTTTGGAAGAACCCCACCACAGCCTCGTTTCCTGATTTCAGTGTCCTCCTTGATCCAGCGTTTGAACTTGTTGTTTTCTGATCCAATGACCCGAGCCCCGACCTGATCCAGAATGTGGTTGTTTCTTTTACAGTGTCTGATATGGCGGATTTTAGGTTTTAATGTTCTGCTTTGTCTTTTTGTGTTCTGGTGAGTCTCCCTGATGTTTCCTTTTCACATTCCTTTTGGTGTTCGGGAGTGGTCAGCCTGATGGAGCTGGCAGGTCACTCAGACTGACCACGCCTACAGGAAGTAACAACAGCTGATATACGACACGTCACCACCAACACCGGGGACAGTTCTGAAGATGCAGCAGCAGAAACATGTCAACAAGGTAAATACACTTTACTGCATTGTCTTTAAAAAGAACCCAAGAAGTTCATGTATATAAGAAGACAAAAGGAACATCATTGGCTCTATGTTATAATGTTGTTTCCTCATCACAAATATACCTGGAATTTGTGATTTGTTTTACATACATGTTAAACACACAAACATTGCATATTTGGGCTGTGTTCTTCTCTCAAACAGAAAACACTCTGTACCACTTTGTGATGTCATGTGGAAATACAGGAAGTGATCGAAACTTCATACACTTTCACTAGAATCATTTGGATAGTTTCAGCCCTGGAATTTCCAATCTCTACTGAACAAAAGCTAAACGAAGCTGTGACATGAAAACTAGTTTATTTTGGTTTTGGAGAGAAATAATGAAGAAAACTGTTGTTTTTTCGTTTTCTTATTTTTGGTTTTATATTAAAAAACGAATGAACAAATGAGACACGGATTTCCCACAGTATGGCATTAAACTTCAATATCTTGCAGTTATTAAAATTACCATTGTTTTGATTGCTTAAAAATACATAGAGAAACCAACGACCACCACCAAGGACTACCCCCATTTTTTATATAAATTGCGATAAAAATCAGTCTTCTGGATCAGATCTGGATCAGCGTTTGGAATATGAAAGAGGATCCCATTGTCCATCCCTGAGTCAAATTTCATGGGGTTTGGTCAATAATTAACCGAGATATTGAGAAACTAAATTTTTGGCCCCATTTACCACAATGTTAACTAAAATTTCAAAGTGATTCAGAATCCAGGATTTCTTCCGGATCACCCCCAAAATTAAACCAATTCTTCCTTTTCACATTTCCAACAAATCCTGAAAATTTCATCAAAATCGGTCCATAACCTTTTGAGTTATGTTGCTAAAAGACAAACAAACAAACAAACAAACAAACAGACAAACGGCGGCAAAAACATAACCTCCTTGGCGGAGGTAATAATAATGTTTTCAGTATTGACACAGTATCCAACTTTGTTCCTAGTGGTCTTATTATTATTTTTTTATTTGGGTGTCAGTTTGACCCTGCTAAAGAAGTTCTGTCTCACCTTGCACCTGCAGCTCGGCGGTGGACACCTGCCCCTCCGCGTTGGCACTAACCCTGCCGCAGTCCTGCAGTCTGCACCTGTCGAGGCGCAGAGTGTGACAGGTGCCGTTCTGTGTCGCTGCGGCGCGGTCACTCGGAGGCACGCGTCCGTTAATCTGCCACACGAGGGCGACATCCTCCGGAGACACCACACATTTAAACACGGCGTCTTCCCCCTCCCTCACGGTGACGCTCCGCAGGCCTGCGATGAACTCCACCACACGAGGCGCTAGAGAGGGACAGGGCAGAACACTTTCAAATGAAGCAACAGTTTCAAATGAAGAAAACTATTTAGAACCAGGTTTCAGGTGACATCAGTATAATAATATTTGATACAGACAGGAGCAAATAAAATGTTGTTCCAATTCTAGAGATTAATCAGTCACAGAAATGATCAGATTCCACATTTGTGCCTTACATTTGTGCAAATTTGTTGCTCTTTTAACATGGAAAACTCACAGTAAACAGGTAAATGTCTTTGTTTAAAAGTTTAGACAAATGTTGCCTCCTCAAAAACAGACCTGGAGTTGTGTTTTGTGTCTTTAGCTATTCCAGATCTGAAATTATCCAAATGATTCAAGTTAAGGTATAAAAAACCCAGTGGAGCACTTCCTGTATTACTACTTAATGATGTTTTCAGTTTGGGAGAAGAACTCAATATGCAGGATTTATGTGTTAAACATGTTTGAATGAAAAGAAACAGAAAACACACACCAAAATTCTTGTAGAGGTGCAAATGCAAGTAGCAGTAAGACAAAAGTGAAAAAACGCACAGCACACTCACATGGCCGATGTCCAAAAGCTTTTATATTTTCAAAATAACATTTCTGCAAAAAAAGCCTTCATCAGATATTTTTTTTTTTTTTGCTTTGGACCACATTTTTCTTGCTTTGGTCCAAAGCCAGATGAAGGCTTTTTTTGTCGAAATGTTATTTTGAAAATAAAAAAAGCTTTTGGACATCGGCCATCTGAGTGTGCTGTGCGTTTTTTTCAAACATGTTTAAATGAAACAAAACACAAGTCCAGGTCTGTTTCTGATGAGGCAACATTATAACAGAGATCTGAAAATAATGTAACACAAGCCCTTTAAAGACATGAGATAAAGACGATAAATCTGTGGTCCTGATCCCTAATAAAATACATATCGTGTTTTTTCAGACTATAAGGTGCACCGGATTATAAGGCACAATATCAAAAATGTTGAATTCTCTTGTCTATTTTCATACACAAGGTGCACCGGATTATAAATTGCATTAAGTGAAACAAATGGACGACACTTGAGACTTGAAACTTTTTAATTTCCTACGAGGATGACTCAAATACAGGTTGAGTAATAAAGTGTTTAATGCAGCTTTGAGCACATTTATTTACGTTTTACAGAAACTACACTTGAACTGCATGGCTCATTTGCTTAAACTATAAGCGATAAAAAAAGCAAGGTCAGTATGCTCGACCAGACTATAAGACTACATGTAAGACTATATATAAGGTGTATTATAAGGCGCACTTTCGATTTTTGGGAAAATAAAGGAATTTTAAGTACGCCTTATAGTCTGAAAACTACGGCATTTCCCTCACCCTGCACAGTGACGGTGGCTGTGGTCCTGTCGTCCGTAGATGCACACGTGTACTCTCCTCCGTCTTCTTCTGAAACCTGGTGAACGGTGAAGCTCCTCTCTCGCCCCAGCGCTCGGATGGTGAACCTGCGGCACAGCGCCACCTCCTGGCCGTCCTTCAGCCACTGCACGTCTCCTTTGGCCTTGTTCACCTCACACTGGAGCGTCAGGCTGTGTCCCTTCAGGGCCACCGTACTCTGCAGCGGGCGCACAAACTTCACCTTCATCTCTGTGAGAGGGATGAGACAAGGGTGTCGTGTGAGTCCATCACTTTTAAATTATTCTATTATTATCCTTCTGTTATTGTACTTAAATCATCCTTTCAGGTGAAGGGGTGAAATCTCAGAGCAAGAGGACCATAAAAAGGTTAGTGCTGATAGTTTGGTCTGGAGAAATGAAAGTGCTCTGGTTTCCACAGTAACATGTTAGCTTCTATTGCTATGTTCTATGTTTTATTTTATGGTGTAAGGTGAGATATGGCCATCTCTTCTGCTAACATTTTAACTATCCCAAAACATTTTTCTAACCAAAATCTTCATTCAACTCAACATAATTTAACCAAACTCTAACCTTAACCACTATCCTAACTTAAAACTTAAAAATAACCCTGTTCTTAAATCCATCACTTTGACTGACTAATCACAGACCAAATACCATCACTCCCAACATTCTAGCATTAATTGAATTCATTAATTACCCATTAGATTTTATATAGCGCCTTTCAACATTTTCATGTACAGTCGTCCCTCACTATATCGTGGTTCACCTTTCATGGTCTCGCTGTTTCACTGATTTTTTCTTTTTTTTTTCTTTTTGTGCAATTTTGCATGCCTTTTTACAGTGTATGAATGCGCATTGCCTTCCTCCCGCTGTGTCCTGATTGGCTAAGAGACTCCTGTCTCCTGTACAGTACACCAAATGTACATAAATGTTGGATCTGTATCAGTGTGGTTCTGAAGTGCTGTATGTTTGCAAGTTTTCTCCCCGACAAAACCCACAATGTCGACAAAATGTTCTGCACCGACAAAGGCTCCTGCGGTCGCACCTAAAAGGAAGAGGAAGAATGTAACCATCAGACATTTCTGGACACGCTGAAGGAAGGAAGAAGTTATGACCTGCAGCAGAATCCTGCAACGGGTCAGGCAAAGAGTTGCTGAAACCAGGACTCAAGAGTGAGAACCGCAAGCCCGCGCAGAGTGATTGGGCAACAGCTGCGCTTACCTCTGTGAGGTGCGGAGCTGAGCCGGTCTTTTCTCCTGTGGTCACCTTTGACCTCGTCCCGATTGTGAGTCCTGTTTCAGTTCTTGTTCAGTTCTGGTTTAGTCCTGTTTTAGTCCTAGTTCAGTCCTGGTTTAGTCCTCCTCTTCAGTCCTGGAATCAGTCCTAGGTTAGTCCTGGTTTAGTCTTGATTCAGTGCATGATGTATACAGCACTAAAGTTTGATATAATCTTGAGTTAACTCAGCTCTGTGCTGTAGGGCTCCATTATGGAATAAAGGAATTTTCGGTTCGTTACATAAAGAACGAAGATAACACGACAGCAGCTAGAAGTTTTAAGAAAGATGTAAAAAGGGTTGTAACTGTCCTGTCTGAGAAAAGTGTTTAAAGTGTGTGGTGAGGAGTTTTACAGACTTAAAACTTCGCAGATTTCACCTATCGTGGGTTATTTTTTAGAAAGTAACTCCCACGATAAACGGGGGACCACTGTACAGCAATAAAACCAGCTGTAATTTAATAAATGCTAGATACATATATTTAACACCATACTGTGGAACATTTTAAGCAATGCAATAGCATCATCATCGAGACAAGTATGTAGTAGTATGTAGTATGTAGTAGTGTGTCACGATACTAAAATAAACTTGATTTCGACACAAAGGAATGGACTTGATACTCAATACCGATTCCAAAACTGCAATGTTAATAGAAGGTAGTTTTCGACATTAAACGGTAGAACTTTCTGTTCTATTCCCATGTGTGTTATATGTGTGTAATGGTCAGTGGTGCAGTAGGTTCATGTTGGTCCATGTGTGTGTACTAGTCTATGTGCTCTGACACTTGTTCTGATACAGTTCAAGAACATTCTAAACACATTCAGGAAAGGTTCTGCTCTGTCCTGTGAATAGGACATTTTAGTATCGATACCAGTTCATCTACATTCAATACTAGTTTAATATCAATTCCTATCTGACATTTGATACTTTTGACAACCCTAGTAGGTAATGTACCTTGTGCCAGAAACGTTACACATTGCAACTTTATCACTTTACAGTAAACACATTGAAACTGAGACTGAACTGTGCTCAATTTCAGTGTAAAACCCAGGACCAAACCAGGACCAAACATGGACTAATCTTGGTTTAGTCCTGAGCTAATCTCTGTTTTATTGACTGGTTTAGTCTAGCTCTGGTTCTGACGTAGGCTTAAATCCGCACATTTCGGAGGTACTTTGTGATACTGCGTCAGGGCGTATTCTGCAGCTATCACAGTGGATCTGAGCTTTCTGCCAAATGGAAACATATCGAGGGGTGCCAGGTTGGAGCTGCCAGGTTGGAGCTGCCAGGTCATCTGCGTTGCCAGATAAGCGCAGTGTCCCGGTCAGATTTCTCCAGTCGATCCAGAGTCTGAATCCGAGTGGCAGCCACAGCATCTGACCCTGATCCCAGAGGACATTTTGTAACAGCAGGTTCTACTCGAGAATCACGGAGCCATTTTTACTGGGAAATTGTGGCTCAGTTAAGGCCCTAGAATTGATTTTCCCCAGTGTATGTGAGTCAAAGTCTGTCCATGTATTCATTGTTGTGAATAATTAGGATTCTCTGAATACATAATTTAACTGAGGAATAACTTTGAATTTCTGCAAAACGTTTAAAATGAACTAGGTCTGTTTTTTTAATGATGTTAAAACAGTAACAATCAGGTGCAGCGCCTTTAACTGTATTATTGTAAGGTTACTTTTCTGTCTTAAAATACCATATTCAGATTTAAGAGTCTTAAATTTAATATCACTCACTTCATTACGTTGGTTGAAACAGAAAGGATCTTGGTCAGTGTTGTTCCCTATGGTCCTTTAGCTGCTGCAACAAAACTATATTTTGATTTTTTTGTTAATGCCAGATTGATGTGTAACACTCTGACTTGAGCTCTACACATTTATCTACTGGTCGAAGCATCATAACAGATGAAAAAGAACTCAGACTTTAGTTAAATCCTGTTGAGAGAAAAGCACAGACATCTTTCCCTCCACAAATGCACAAAGAGCTTCCCTCTGCACGTTTTTCACAAACAAAATAGTCTGTATGACTGTGAAAATAGGCTCGTGTACACCTGTCTGCATCACCATGTTTGTTTGGGTTCACTTGGGCATTTCACCTCTGTCCCTGCTCAAACCACAATGCTGTGATGAGATTTGTCTGAGCCACTGCTGATCTGTGTTCAGTAACAACAAAGGATGTCAGGCCAGACGGATTCTTTTGAGTTTATAAATGTACAAATATGACAAGAATTCATCCAGGCAGGTTACTTCTGCCATGCCCTGTTCACAATTAGTGTCTCATTTAAAGTTTAATTTAAATAGAATTTGGATACTTGAACTCCACTTGAGGCACCTATCTAAATCTAAATCTAAATCTAAATCCAAATCCAAATCCAAATCTAAATCTAAATCTAAATCCAAATCCAAATCCAAATCTATCTAAAGGGTGAGATTGACAGGTGGATCAGTGTAGCGTTTACAGTGATGCTACTGCTGTATCGACTGTATTGTGGTGAAGAGGGAGCTGAAAAGCTCTTGATTTACCGTCAAGCTACGTTCCTCCCCTTACCTATGGTCATGAGCTCTGGGTAATGACCAAAAGGATGAGATCATGGATACAAGTGGTTGAAATAAATTTCCTCTCCAGGGTGGCTGGGTGCTCCCTTAGAGAGAGGGTGAGGAGCTCAGAGTAGAGCTGAGGTGCGTCAGGCATCTGTTCTGGATGCCTCTTGGACATCTCTCTCGGGAGGTGTTCTGGGCATGTCCCACTGGAAAGAGGCCCTGGGGAAGGCCCAGGACACGGGGGGGGGGACGGGACTATGTCTCTTGGTTGGCCTGTGAATGCCTCAGGGTCCCCCCGGAGAGGCTGGAGGAAGTGTTCGGGATGAAGGAAGTCTGGGACTCCCTGCTTAGACTGCTGCCCCCACCACCCGGCCCCGGATAAGCGGAAGAAAATGGATGGATGGATAACATTTAGATATCACTTACCTTTATTTTATCCTAGAATTAAAGCTTCCACTCATTATTACATTGGCCGAACTGCCCCTGTATTGTTACATATCACCACTAGATGCTAGCACCTCTCTTGACAGAAGAAGACCAGAGGGCACAACTGAGGCTGAACAAAGGCCAGGAGAGGGGAGGGGCCAGATGAAGGGAGTGGACAGGTGATGAGGGATCAGGTGAGCAGAGAGTTTAGTGTCTATGTATGTGTTACCAGTTCAGAGTTGGAAGATACGACCTGCATCACTGTCACATTTCTTCCGTCTTGGGGCCTTACCTTTTACCACCAGACTGAAGCCCATCTGGTCGGTGGTTGCGTCGCACACGTACTCCCCAGAGTCGCTGAGCTGCAGTGGGCTTAGGGTCAGTCTCTGCTCTGCTCCACAGCTGGAAATGTGGATGTTCTCTGCGTTCAGGAGCTGTCCGTCCTTCAGCCAGCGCACAGCCTGCCCCCGACCCAGCTCACGAGTCAGCTCTGCGGACAGGGTGACGCTCTCGCCCTCGTACACCGTGAGAGAAGAGGGGAGCACGGGTTTGTTTATGAACGAGGCAGGAGGCTCTGGGGGGGAGAAGGTACTTATGAGAATATCATCAAGTCACATAGTACAGTCATTTTGTTCTTGATGAATAAGTAGGAAGGTCAGAATGCATAAGAACCACGGCAAACAGTTTAAAATGAACACATTCTACAACTAGTTTTTCACCTTTTTAAAACAGTAAAAATCAGGTGCCTTTAAATCACTAAAGAAATGTCTAACAAACAAAACAAATCAGGTAAGTTAAAAGGTGCAATGTGTAACTTTTCTGGTTGAGGATCTGTCAAATGCTTTTCTCCTTGAGATGGTCTTGCTTTGTCTGGAATGTTTCATCACGGACACCAAAGCAGACCAAGTTACTGGGTTACTGATCTGTGGAAAGGCCACCCCGCTCACAATCAGAATGCCTGTTTAATTATTTTTGAGCTATAAAACCAACTGTAATTGAATAAATGTAATGTAGGACTGTTTGTCACACTGTGGAACATTCTAGGCAGAGCAATGACATCGCCATAGAAACGAGCAGGTGACGGACCCCCAACCCAAAAAGTTACATACAGTAATGCACCTTCAAAGGGCCCTTATTACTATTCTCTGATCTATGTTCTAATGTTGTTTCCTCCTCACAAACAGACCTGGAATTGTGTTTTATTTCATTCATACATGTTAACACACAAACCTTGCACATTTAGTTCTTCTCTCAAACAGGAAACTGTTTGTGATGTCATGTGGTAATACAGGAAATTCTACACTGTCTTTTTAAACGTCATACACCTTCACTAAAATCATTTGGATTATTTAAGCCCTGGAACTGTAGTCAGGTTGGCACCATCTAGTGCCTCCACTCATTTAATTTCTCTCCAGCGACTAGATCAGGAATTGGACTACATCGGACTACGGTTTGCAAGAACCCTGGAAGTGCACGTTCGGGCACCAGCCAATCAGCGAAGAGCCAGATCTTCTGTGTTGGCAACGATTCCCGAGATCAAAGATTTAAAGCCGGAACAAAGAGAATGTTTGGTGAATTTTATCAAGGGGAAAGACGTTATTGTCCTTCTTCCTATGGGATTTGGGAAAAGCTTAATATACCAGTTAGTCCCGTTGCCATTACATGCATCACGACCAAATAGCAGTGATTGGTTAAATAAAAAAAGTACCCGCCTACTGTTGAGCGAATTCTCAAGCTAGAAGATCAAATCAGGAATTGCCCATCTTTATTGAATTTAAGGTAAAAGGAGCTGTTAACAACCACTTCATGACATCACAAGATGGAACAGAGAATTTTGAGCTTTGAAGACTAATAATGCAGGATTATCTAAACATGTGCAAATGAAACAAAACACAACTCCAGGTCTGTTTTTGATGAGTTAACAACATAATAACATGGCTTAAAGTTCACAAGAGTCCATTTTGTGTAATGCAGGACCTTTAAATATCTTGTTGACACTGACCCTGCACTTGGACAATGGTGATCATCTTGTCGTCCGTGGCGTCGCAGGTGTACTCTCCACTGTCTGATTCCTGCAGGTTCATCAAGACCAGCTTCCTCAGAACATCACCGCTCTGGATGGTCACTCTCTCATCTGGGCTCAGCTCCTCTCCGTCCTTCAGCCATCGCACCTCAGCGTTGGCCCGAGAAACCTCACACTCCAACACCAGATCCTCCCCACACAACAGCAGGTGGCGCTCTGGAGTACCTGAGTTTCCCATGATCTGGACTGGAGGCTCTACAGGCACAAGTCATGCAGCTGTCAATCAATATGTTCTGACCAAGCCCCCAGGTTCCAAAATGGCCGTCCATTCAAGTCAATGGGCTGAGCTCAATGGCGCATGATCCCAGCTTAGCCTAGCATGGCTAGGTACTTCCGGTGGCTGTGGGCCGACCGAGCATGTGCAGTAGTGTCTTTTCTCCCACGGGCACACGCGAATGCATGCGACCACACGCACGGAGCGCGGGATCGTGTATCACGTGATCGCTTTGACCAATCAGAGCGAGAGGAACTAGAGCGGAGCAGTGTGTAGCCGAAGCTAACGATTATAAAGCGTTTTTTTAAGACAACTCAAGGATTTTGAGCGAGAAAAAGTTTATGATCTAAAAATAGGTAAAAATCGCCAACAAATCCGATAATTTTGAAAGCTGTAGGTCCCTGTCAGCCGAACACGAGCAGTTTGTGATTATATTGCGCTCTATGATAAAAATCTTGTCTCAGCCCACGGGACTTTTTCTGCTGAAGTTCCAGTGAGTGACCACTACATCAACTGGAGGCAGCTACAAGCTAGCAATACTGTATCCAGTTATTTTAATAGATCCATGGTTCTGACTGCCTACTCCATGACCACTGCTCTTTTTTAGATAGATGCAGTAGGAGCAAAAAGTGCTCATGTAAGAGTAAAGTTACAAGAAATTATCAAGGGTAAAAAACATGTCTAGAGACTACAACTCAAGTAAGACTACCTTAAAGAGTAACATCTGATTTATAATTGACAGTTGATATAATTTGAAGGACAAAACATTACTTCAAGCACAAAATCTGATATTTTCAAAAGCCAGACACAAAAATGAGACAAACTAAATTGTATCTAAAACACAATTGTTCAAATAATTTCATATTGTGGACATAATGTTTTTGTCACTTGTAGACTAAAGGCCTATTTATATATCATAAGAACATAAGAATTTTGTTCTTGCACCCAGGGCCAGCTCCTGTTGGGCAGGTCTTGTGGCTTGTCCTTGACACCTCAGTTGAGCAGAACTTTGTTCAGCAGTTCTGCAGCACTGTCTGACATCTTCACTGATTGGTTATTTATGTGGGCGTGGTTTATCTGCTTCCTGGCCGGTGCCAGTGGTTTTCAGTCACCGCTGGAGGAAATGGTGAGAAAATACAAACATCTGTACGACATGACGCTCAATGACTATAAAGATGCCAAAAGGCAAGAAATTCATGGAGGGACATCGCCGACATTTTAGGCTCGGAAAGAAAATCAGTTGTAAAAGGCAAACGGCAAGTCACCAAAACAAAAAAGAAAAAAAGGAGCGATCAGGCTGGAGAATGAAAAGGACAGTCCAGCAGAACGTCTTTTGAAGTATGGAATGTCAGAGCTCAAACGAATTTTGTTCTTGTTCTTGAGGTGATAAGAAGAAGAACAGAGTACTTATGTTTTTATGAAGTATGAACAGGCCTTTACTCACAGTGGGAAGAGGAAGCACAACTTTTACTAAAATATTACTCAATTAGGAGTAAAAGTGTGTGGCTAAAGCATTTCTGACAGATACTGATTGCAGCAAGAAGAATCCACAAGCCCTGTGCAAAACCAGGACTAAACCATGTCCAAAGCACTCTAAAAGATAATGTAGTCTTGGTTTAGTCTCCAGGACTAAACCAGGACTAAACCAGACCTAAACCATGTCTAATAGCTAATGGATATTTACGACTACAGACGATGCACACACAGAGTTGCATTAAACCAGGATTAAATCTGTCATGTCTAAATAAAATGTAACTCAGGACTAAATCAGGACTATATCAGGTCTAAACCAGATCTATAACATGTTAAAGTTGGGTGAGTCCAGGTTTGATTTATTTTTGCGTTGCTAGCTGTACCTCTAACAGTGCTTCAGCAGTGTGTACCTTTGACAGTGATGTAGAAGACCATGTTGTCATCCCCAGCGTCACAGCTGTACTCTCCAGAGTCCTGCAGCTCTGCGTTCAGAACCACCAGAGACCTGAACACGCCCTGCTCCTCTGCACAGTACCGATCGCTCTCCTCCAGGGGGAACCCGTCTTTGCTCCATGTGACAGCGGCGTTGGCCCTCGACAGCTCACACACTAGAATGATGTCATCCTCCAGCACAAACGTCTTCTCTGTGCGGCCCTCAGGTTTACCCACAATCCTCACTGGAGGCTCTGCACACAGATGACAGATTACAGATTACAGCAGTAATATTAAGGTAGACTTTATTGTCACTTGCCTTGCCAAGACACTTGTGTTGCATGAATTGGGTGTAGCTGGTGGGACGGGGCAATAGCACAGTCTGCCCCAGGGCAGCTGTGCTTACAATAGTAATTTACCACCTCAGAGAAAAGGCGCTGTATGAATCAACTGGATTATTATTTTTTTAATTATTAAAGAACATTTTCTGGACACCATACAGAAAATGGTCCCATAGGGTGTGGGCATCCTTTTGTGTCTTCTCCTACAAAGGCTTTTCTAGCTTCAACATTTTACAGTTTTACAAGATTTTACTGCCACAATCCAGCACCAGCCTAAATGTGATGACTGCATCATAGAATCATGTAGAAATGGAAAGTGTTTTCACAGATGAGTAAAGAGCAAAGGACCCAAAACTGATCCCATCGGAACACCACCGTACCCTCTTAAGCCCTGTTAGCACAGTATTAGTCTTACCTTACAATAATTAAAAGCATTTGTCGTTGCTGTTTGTGTGAATCCATTTTCCACAATCAAAAAGTGAAGAACGCAAAAAACTGCAGTAAAGACATGGCCCCATTGTTGTGGCCGCTGAAAACCAAGCAGCACGGAGGCTCTTTGAAAAAGTGTGGGATCTTTTGGTGCAAGGTTTGGATTGAGGGGTTTTGTCAGAGGAGTGGATTAAAAAAGTGAGAGGTTCAGAGAAGTTTCATAAGAAATATGACAACAGAAAAAAACAAATAAAAATTTTACAGACGTCCCTGGATAAAACAATTCATGTGGGAATTTGGCGTTAAGGTCATTCCTAATCCCATTTACAGACAAACTAGACATCAAAGTCCTATAATGTTTAATACAGATCATAGCAGCTAAAATTTATATTGTTAAATATTGTAGTATATTTTTATTGTATTCTGTGAGTTCTTGGTGTAGTCCCTAAGAAACAGAAATGGTCAGATTCAACATTTGAATTTACAATGCCATTCTCCCATCTGGGAGAATGGCATTGTGACACTCTAGAATCTGAAAACCAAACATACCCTTGATGGTGACGGTGAAGTCCATGAGGTCGTCTTTGGCGTCACACACGTATTGCCCCGCTTCCTCCTCAGACAGAGCGTGGATGGTCAGCTGTCTCATCACGCCCTCCTCCAGGATCGAGATGTTCTTTGAGTCCTCCACCTCGTCTCCGTTCCTCTTCCAGGTCACCTCGGCGTTCGGCCTGGACACCTCACACTCCAGGACCACCTCCTCACCGGCCGCACACTCCACTTTACTTGCCGACTTACGCGGTCGGACGAAGCGCACTGGAGGCTCTGAGGGAATTTTAGGGTAGATAGTATGCAACAATTAAGAAAAACATTTAACCACAATTTCACTATAATAATTTTCTTAGTTCTTAAAAAGATTACAGTCAGTGAAGTCAAGCTTAAATGCAGTATTTTCCTCCTCCAGATGTCACTACTGCAATAACCTTCTGTATAGGGATCCATCTTTTTTAGTTCCAATACCAATTCCGATACTATAGTTTTAAATATCTGCCCATACCCGATATATGATACTAGTGCAGAGACTGAAAACAACATTTATTTCCTTCAAATTAAAGTATAATAAGATAAAACTGATCCTAATATATTATGTAGTTGTTACTGGTCCTACCAATAACTGCACACAGCACCACCTCACTCTTCTCATCATCTCCTTACTCCCCTCATCAAATCAAAGCATCTCCACACTGTCCTCATCAGAACAAAGCACTGGACCTTGGGGGACAGAGTTTTCGTTGGCGTCGCCCTCTGAAACTCATTACAGCACTTGAAATCTCCACAAAAAGCACCCCTGTTCAACCTGCCTACCTGTCATTTCCTATTTGTTTGTAAAGCGAGTGCCCAAGCTCTATGTAAGTCCGATGCATTATTATTTTATTATTATTTTCCATTGTCTCAGAACACCTTTGACCTTCTTCTGGTGTGAACATGGTTCAGTCTTTTTTGAAGTTTAGATATTGGGGGAGCGGCAGTGGCTCAGGTGGTAGCCGTGGTCCATCCATCCATCCATTTTCTTCTGCTTATCTGGGGCATCAGTCTAAGCAGGGACTTCCCAGACTTCCTTCACCCCAGACACGTCCCCCACCTCCTCCAAGCTGTGGTCTTATAACTTAAAGTTGGTTGAAATCATACTATAGTATAGCTAGCTCATACTGCCTGTGGTGTGGTGGATACCTCTGCCTTTATTTAGACTTGTATTCTAATTTGGATGCACACATTTTAGTTAATATAAGTCTGAATTATTAACTTACACTTATTCTTTTTTTTTTTTTTTTTTTTAAGTGACCAGATGGAGGAGCACTATTTAGTTAGTTTTACTAGGTTAGTTTGTCTAGTTTGTTTAAGGTCACTTTATTATCAAAAAGAGAGCACTTCTGGATTCACCATCTTAAAACTCTTACTCCTCATGGACTGAATTTGGAGTTTGATTTAAGATGTTTTTTGTGATAGACCTAAACTATTTCTGTATTTTATAAAATGTTTTTTTATGTAAACTGTTGTTTCTTGTTGTAGAATGGGCTGAACTCACTGGGTGACCTCACTTTGGGACCTCCCATTCATTGAGCGGGTATATGGGCACCTGGGCTGGCAACCAGTTTGTGTGCTGTGGTCCAAGACAAGAAAAAAAATAAAAATCTGATGAAGGCTTTTTTTGCCGAAACGTTATTTTGTTCATAAAAAAGTATTTGGACATCGGCCAACCGAGTGTGCTATGCATTTTTTCACCCTGATAAGGTCACTTTATTATCACTTATTATCAGTGTTAGGAGTAACGTGTTATAAAAGCAACAAATTACAGTAATGCATTACTTTTTGCTGTAACGCAGTAATGTAAGGCATTATAGGGGAAAAAATAGTAATATTTTACTTGGTACAAATGTGAGTAACGTGCGTTACAATGTTTTTTTAACCTGGATTGAAGTGGTGGATTTTTCTTCATACAAATTCACTAAAATCACCTCGATAGCAGCGGAGAAACGCCGGAGATGCGCCCTCGTAGACCATCAGGTAACCGCGGGCGAAAGGACTGACAAAGAACTCCACGCTGTTTAGACCTGGTTTAGACCTGGGTCAGTTCTGGTTTAGACCTGGTTTACACTCGTCCCTCCCTCTATTTTGCATGCCCTTTTTCTTTACATTGTATGAATGCGTATTGCGTTCCTCCCGCTGCGTCCTGACTGGCCAAGGGACTCCTGTCTCCTGTACAGTACAGTACAGAATGTGTTCAGCTGCCAAATTTAAATACATGTTCAATCTGTATCAGTGTGATTCTGAAGTGCTTGTACGGTTGCAAGTTTTCTCCCCGACGAAACCCACAACGTCGACGAAACGTTCTGCACCGACAAAGTCTCCTGCGCTCGCACCCAAAAGGCAGAGGAAGATGCTAACATCACACAAAAAGTTGGACTTCTGGACACACTGAAGGAAGGTAGAAGTTACCCTACTAGCATCAGGATCCGCAGCGGATCCGCTTTCGGTCCGCCAAATCCGCCCCACAGTCCGTCCGCTTTGCGGATCCGCTGCGTATTTGTTCCGTATTCGCTTTCTGACTGTTGCTAACCCTAACCCTTGGATGGCCTGCTGTTACAGAGAGAATCTGCGGTTAAATCATCTTAGATCCGCACTGTGAACGTACTTTTAACACAACACTTTTGTTTTTTGACACAATGATTTGTACTATTAATGCGCGGATCCGCGGGTAACCCGGTTCGGATTCGCTGCGCGGACGCGCCACTGACTCATGAGCCGTTATCAGAACCTGAGAGAAAGAAACAACATCCACCTGTTGTCCGTGGATTTCACTGTAAGTAATAGTTTAAAAGTTAATTGTATTAGTCATCATTAATGTACATAACGTTAACGTTATATTGTGGTGTGTTTACATGTGTGACTCTGTGTGTTTTATCAGTTTTGACAAGTGCAGTAGGAAAGTTAGCGACAGGAGCAGCTAACGTGATGAAGACGATGTGAGGTCAGGAGTCAGGATAACTCCATCTCTTGAGGTAGATCCCAGTCTAAATACTATTTTTATATAACGCTACTTATATTCTTGTATATTTTTACGATCAAAGAATTGTAATTCTGCTCCGTGATCATTGGTCATGTCTAACGGGCTCGGTTCTGGCTGGATGCCGCTCTCGGCGCTCTGCCTTCGGCTGTGGAGCGACGGTGACACCGGTGTCTGATCTGGTTGTGTTTTTAACCAGAGATAATTATTATTTGTGTAGACTAGAGTGTTGACTGTTGAGTTGAGACTAAAGTGCAGTCATGTCAGTGCCTTAATACAATAATTTAACGCAACGTGCCATAATACAATAACGTAACGTAATAAAAAGCACAACTTTTAACAACAGCTAACGTTAGCTAACCAACCAAAACTTATGTTGTTTTTCCCCAGATGACATCAGGACCCTGTCCTTCTGCTGAGTGTCTCCATCAGGAGCCCGGCACGCTGATCAGAAGTAAGTACTTTTAATGATTTTTGTGACAGTGAAGATTTAGTTTGGAGTCAGATCTGACTTTGTCTCTAACTTTCTGTTATGGGACTTGAGACGGTGCTTCAGACTTTCAGTGAGAGATGTTGACATGAACACTAATGTGTCACATCTATATTACACTGATATTGACTATGAACACCATCATAAATTTGATTATTATATTTTTAAATGTTGTGGTAAAAGTAAATGTAGTAGAGTATTGTGTATTAACAGCAGTGAAATATGTCTCATGTTCATACTCAGGCTTATACTAAAACAAAAGAGTTCAGTTTTACTGCGCTAAAGTATTTCCTATGAGTTAAATAATGTTTTTCATCTCTGTTTCAGAATATACTATGGTTAATAAGAAGATGGACAGAACAGCATGATAAAGACCCTCTGGAGGTAAATACTGCACTTGGATTAAACACTGGGGCCTGAATGATCCAAAACTGATATTTGTGTTTCTCTTATTTGATGTTTTACAGAATTCCTCTGCTGGGCCAAGTTCCAAAAATGTAGAGACAGACCCTCTGTAAGTTTACTGTATTATCCTACTTTTATTCACTTTCATAACTAAACATATGCACATTATAATCACACCTGTTGTGCATATTGTTTCTTTCAGAACCTGCTGTGGTGGAGTTTAAAGACTGACCCTCTGTAAGTGCATAGATTTCTCCAATCAAGTATTCACCTTTCATATTCACATCACACAGCCACTGTCATGACTTACAATGTTCTTCACAAACCTGAACTCTAACTCCTTACAAGAATAAGAGGTGTAATGGGGTGTTTAATACACACTGGTGTCATTTCAGATGCTGTGAGAAAGGGGAAGTCCAGAGCTGGACACTGACAGACTGGATCTTCACCAGTAGGACTGAAGAGGAGCCAGACTCACTACACCTCTGCCTCAAAACCTCTGCCTCAAAACCTCTGCCTCAAAACCTCTGCCTCAGACTGAAGCTAAAGACAGAGGCTCTGAAGCTCCCACACTGCACACTCTATAAGAACAACCATCCGTCTAATTGTACTGTGGTGGTAAACACAAGTTAAGTTTGAGTTTGAACAGTATGGTATGGCTACACTCTGTCTCATCTGTCCAGGCTTTTACTCATATAGCTTATATTTGTTTTTTGCCAAAAACTTTGCTTAACTTGAACTATTTTTAGTAAAAACTGTAAATTGTCATTTTCATATTAAGAATGAAGCATTGGTTAACTCAAAGGGTATATATAAGTCCTATAACATTAATAATGATTATTCATGTCCTAAGATTTCTAATTAATGATTTAAATAAATATTGTTTACAATGTAAAAAAAAAAAAAAAAAAAGTTTCTTTTTTTCTTAACTAATGAGATTTACTTTAAACTTTGAAATTGTTTAAGTTTATGTTTTTAAATTTAAGCCTTTATATTCCTAGTTTTAATACTTGCTGTAAAAGTTTTATGTACAATTACAATGCAAATGCTGCTGGTGTGTATTTAGGTCAGTAGGAAGTGGATCAGTATTAAATCTGAAGCATATTTAGGCTCCTAACGACACAATAAACAGATCCGCGGCAGATCCGCGGCAGATAACCCCGGTTCTGAAAGCGGATCCAAAACGGGTCCTGGGCGGATCCGCGAGATACGCAGCGGATCAGCCGCGCCTCCGCCGCGGATCCGGGCTTATTTTGACGGATCGCGGCGGAGGCGCGGCTGATCCGCTGCGTATCGCGCGGCGGATCCGTTGCTGATCCGCGGCGATGTGCAAGTGAACTCCGCCGCGAATCTCCGGGCGGATCCGCCGCGTATCCGCCGCGGATATTTTTTGCTATGTGGGTACGCGCTGTAACAGACTCTTGCACCGGCTCGGGAACCTGCAAATAGTTGCTGAAATCAGGGCCGCGAGCCCGAGCAGCAGGGTCCATAAAGAGCGATCGGGTGACAGCCGCTCTTACCTCCGTGAGGTGTGGAGCAGAGCTGCTCCTTTCTCCTGCGGTCTCCTTTGAGCCCGTCCCCACAGTGAGTCCTGTTTTAGTCCTAGTTCAGTTCTGGTTTAGTCCTAGTTCACCTCTGGTTTAGTTCTGGTTTAGACCTGGTTTAGTCCTGGTTCAGTCCATATACAGTGCAAAAGTTATTTTGGTGAGTGTAACTTAAAGTAATGCAATAGTAATGTAATGCCTTACATTTTCAATGCAGTAATATTGTAATGTAATGAATTACTTTGAAATGACAGTAATAGGTAATAAATAACGCATTACAGTTTCAAAGTAACTTGCCCAACAGTGCTTATTATTTTCTGTATTATACCTTCTTGTTACTTTGATTAAGTTAGTAGTTAGTTAATTATTTAGTGTAATTCTTATTTTTACACCTTGGGCCCGTCTTGCCCCCAATCTTAGCATAAGAGCAGGCGCTAAGGAGGGGTCGTGTCCAGGTGGGGCTGTACTTCGCTGCTGGAGGCTGGAGTGGGATGGTACAAGTACATAAATGGTGATGGCATCTGAACCAATCTGTGACCGCTGTGGCATTTAAAATCTTTGCCAGTGTGGGTAATGTCTGTAATATTTACCTCATTATCAGGCAGTGAAGCAGAGTTGTCAGTTATGTATGAGTACATAAAACAGCTCTGGAGCAAGTATGCACCAGTAGAGGCACCAGGAATATAGGATTTTGTATGGGCCATGACAGAACTGACAGGGAGCGGGCGAGGGGCTGTGCTCTGCTGTGGGAGGGCAGCTCCTGCACAGCATACGGAACATGTTCTGCATTTATCATCCTAATATAATTCCAAATAAAAGAAGTTTTGAGCATGTTACATGTTGTTTTTCAGTGGACTCGCCTGATATTTATTTTTACAATTCTGGCAATTCACTGAATGCCCCACACCACGCCCTCAGTCTGCTCCACTCCACCTGATGTTCAGGTAAGGCACACTTCTTGTTTAGAACTCCACGCCCCGCACTTGCGCTGGTACTAAGACTGCAGGCAAGATTGGGCCCCCGCTCCTAAAATGGCAGTAGGGAATCCCTGAGGGTCAGGACTCATGAGGGATGGTTTGAGGTTGTGAAAAGATTTCAAGATTTAATTCCAAAGTGATTTTTCTGTATTTGCTATTTTTTTATTTAAATTTGTAGGGTGGCAGTTATTCCAGCATCAGGTTTATGTGGCTGTAGGGGTCCCACTCCCAAGTTGATCACATTTTTAATTTTATTTATTTATTTATTTATTTTTTTCAATAGTTAGGCCCTAGAGTATGAATGGCAGTATTCAAGTACACATATTAGCCTGTCTATCCAACTCTGCATAGTGTTATTCCTTATCACTGAACACATACTGTGCCTTACTGTACTCTAATCATAACCATAACCCTTTGTACCTGCAATGTTGACGAAGAAGGTCATGGAGTCATCAGCTGTGTCACAGACATACTCGGCGGAATCCTGGACGGTGGTTTTGGGGATGATTAGTCTTCTGTAGACTCCGTCCTCTTCAATGAGAAGGTTCTGGCTCTCCTCCACCTGCAACCCGTCTCTGTACCAGCGCACCACCGCGTTTGGACGGGAGATCTCACAGCTCAGGACCATGCGCTCGGAGGTCTGCTGACACAACTCCATTTGGGACTGACTTGGGGAAACGATACGCACTGGGGGCTCTGGGGGAGAGAGGAGCAGGTGTGGGCCAATGGGTAAGACTTTCTTTCCATAACAACAAGGAGGCTAATAATTAAGTATAAAATGGCTGCATGCTGACAGGCAGCAGTTTTAGGGGTTTTTGATGTATAGTACTCCCAAACCAAAGGATGTCCCCAAGTTGTAAAAGCAAATTGAAGTCTATCAAGTGGGCCCAAGTTTTTCAAGAGTGAATATGTTTTTCCACTCATCCAAGTAGCTGTCATACTCTGATCTGCCAACACCTTCTGGTATGACAGCCATATTTTATCTAACTGTTCATGCCCCTACTAAGCTAAAATGAATATTGTTCAAATGCAGATTTACATTGTAATACAGTGAGTTCTTGAGTTTAGTCTAATCAGGTTCAACATTTGTGAACTGACCGTTTGGATATTTAATGGCAGTAGAACATAATCAGTAGGGAAAACTGTCTCACCTGACCTCATCTGAGAGTATGACAGTATCACATTCTAGAAAATGAAATCAATCAATGGGTCACGTATAGCCAGGCTGGCACCAGCAGGTGCCTCCGCTCAATTTCATTTCTCTCTAGTGACTAGGTCAGGAATCAGAATACACTAGATGGTTCGCAAAAAGCCCGGAAGAGCGAGTTCGGGAACCAGCAAATCAGCGAGGTGTTATATATTCTGTGTTGGCAACAATTCCCGAGATCAAGGATTTAAAGCCGGAATAAAGAGAATGTTTGGTAAATTTATTCAAGGGGAAAGATGTTATTGTTCTTCCTACGGGATTTGGGAAAAGCTTAATATACCAGTTAGCCCCGTTAGCGACGCATTACATAAGCCACAGCCAAATAACAGTGATTGGTTAAATGAAAAAAAGTACCTGCCTACCGTCGAGAGAACAGATTCTAACACTGCGAGGTCAGACGGTTTCTACAAAGTGAAACCAAATGATGAATCAGACTAAGTCACCCAACCTATTAACATCCTTTGATATTGTTTTCTTTGTTTTTGTTTGGGATCCTCAAACTCTTTTATTCAGACAGATTTTAAAGCAGTGACACTTACAGAACCTTGTCAGAACTGAAGAATCTGCTTGAATGAGTGGCAGAACATATTCCCTCTCAAAAACATTGTTCGGTTAGAGAATTCATTGTTCTTTTGTGATGGAACCTACCTGGACGAGTGAGGAATTACACAGACAAGCAAAGACATTTGTCCACTGTCCTACCAACATGCAGACAATGTGCCACTGTATTAATAACTCTGGAAGGACAGTAAAAAGTAAGATTCTCTCAAAGATCAACAAGATTCAGTTAGAATTATGAGTTATGTGAATAATTCCCTCGGGTTGTGCTAAAGAAGAGAAGGAATGACCCAATCCAGTACTGTTAGTAGAACTACATTCAGTTTAGAACAAGTTCATGTGCAAACTAAATGTGTAGATTCTCCATCTGCACTTTCAGTAAAAAAGAAAACCAAGAGTGAATGAAATATTTATGGGCAACAAAATCATAGTCTTATGGAAGAACATGCTAGTTTTATGCAAGATGAAAAGGATATTTTGCTGTCCATAATTCATTCAAACATAAAATAAGATCAAATAAAAGTTTTGGAACCAATGACGCATTTCAAGAAGACATCTGAAGATGCAGAGGTTAAGACTGGACAAGATTCAAATATGGACAGCGAGATAAAACAGTAACAAGAAATACTTTGCTGTCCATATTTCATTTTGAGAAGAGTGTCAAAATGTCAAAGTGCAGATGAGAAGAATAAGAAATGCTGCAGTAGGTTCAGTCTCCATGTGCAGTGGATAAGATAGGCTCACAAGTGTTACATATAGTCCCATTCACACATACTTAGTTTGCACAAAACTGACAGGTACCATCTTCCAGAGCTCTCAAAAACGCACACATGCCAGAACATTGTAACCACATCTGCTCTGTTCACATCATAGACTGTATATATCTCTGGACATATGTATCCTGCTACTACCTGGCTCATTCAAAAAATATCACCCCTCTGACTGCTGCTCTCAGGCTCGTCATTTTGACCTGAAAATGTACATTTTAACCCACTCTATATGATCCTGAGGTTTTTCTTCCACTATTTCATCTGTAAATGAAGATATGAACATTGAAAAAAAACTCTTTTGAGGTCACTTGTGTGGGCAAGGAGGGGTGTGTACCTTCAACAGCCTTACTCCTGACTGGCTCTTTGGTTGCTATGACACTCACGCTTGGATTTCCAAATATGGAATGTTGCCTCATATAACGCGCTGTAACTGCTAGCCTCAATTGACTTTTTTTAGCTGGAGCCAAATGCTATGGGTGACGTCACACTCCCTTAGTCCACTTCTACTATATATACAGTCTATGGATAAGACAGGTAGGTCTGCACAGACTGTACCTGCTTTTACCTGTGATATTGAGCTGGAAGAAGATGGAGTCATGGTCGGTGTCACAGACGTACTCCCCTGAGTCCTCCACTCGACAGGACATGATCTTCAGTCTTCTATACGGGCCCTCTACCTTCAGCTTGATGTTCTCACTCTCCTGAAGCTTCTGTCCATCTTTGTACCAGCTCACAACTCCATTCGGGCGAGACAGCTCACAGCTCAGGATCACCTCCTCTGGGACGTGTCGATCCAAATGTACGTCCTCTTTAGGGTAGACGATCATAACTGGAGGTTCTTTGAATGTGCACAAAAGAGACACCATTTCACACCACAACCCAAGGACTGTTTACACAGGTCTCAATGCTAGATCAGAGTTTTAAAGGGACTATCCTACATTAGTGTATCCATGGGTTTTAGAATGATTGTAATTGAAATGAAAATAATTTGTGAGGATTGCCATATTAATTAACAATTTAAAACAAAATACCTCCTTAATGTGAGGTTTACAGCTCCAACTGCCACTGTGGACCTACCCATGCATGCAGTCTGCTTAGCCTTGTCCTCATCAACAAATTAAGAAGAAGAGTTGGAAATGTAGAAAGAGGAGGTATGAACCAGGAAGTCAAACATTTAGAAGTTTAACACCAAGATAGGAGCTGAAAACCTTCAGTTGCCAGGTCTCTCCAAAAAGAGTGCTTCAGCAACATAGGATCATGGGAATTGGGGAACCGATCGAACCAAGTCTCCAATATCTGTAGAAGTAACAGCTGCGGTCTCTGCCAAGCCAAAAGCACTTTTTTCGTAAAAGGTTTTGGGTATAACATTTCACATTTGTATCATATATTTAGCAATCCTGTCTTCTCCCAAGTCATACTACAACTGTTCTGACCATTAAAACCTTCAGACCAGACATATCTCTCTAAACTAACTCTAGTGAAGTTGAGTTTCTTTGTCAGACTCTGTTACCTAGGACGGTCACTTTGAACATGACCACATTGTCTCCGGTTCGGCAGGAGAATGTTCCGGTGTCACAGAGCTGAGCTGAGCGGAGGGTTAGAGTCCTGGTGGTGCCTTCAGCCTGAATAACCACGGCCTTGTTTGGTTGGACTTCGACTCCGTCTTTGTACCACTGCACTGCCCCCTCTGGCACGGAGACGTCACAGGACAGTACCAGCTCCTCCTGCTCCACTATGGTCCTCAGCAGATCCTCCTCTGGGATTTCTCTAAACGTGACCGGAGGAGCTGCAACACAATGGCACAGACATGAGGCAGGGGCCAGGGGGCGCTGTGCAGAGAGCCATGCAGAGGCTTCATGGGCTGAGCATGCTCCAAACTGCCATCTAGAGGACTACTCATGTTAATCTGCTATCTCTATAAGCCGAGGGGACTCTCTAAAGTTTGGCATTTCATCCGGGGGTGGGACCATGGCTACCCACTTATTCACCTGTGCCCTGGTCTAAAGCAGACTTTTTGACAAGACAAAGCTTCAATTAAACCTAAAATTAGAACAAGAAACATTCAGCTTTTCATGTACTTTCCATTTGTGACACCATTTTCTCCAAAATGCAGCTATGGCTATCAGCCACTTCACATTTGTGGCTATGCTAAGGATTTTTTTTTACTATATATTTTTTCACAATCAAGAAGATCTAGAAGCTACCATTTGTTATTAGTCTGGCTGACCCAGCCCTGTTGTATTGTCACATATCACCACTAGATGCTATCTACGTTACTGCTGTGACAGTGTGCCAGCTTTGGCCTGACAGAAGAAGAGCAAAGAGCACAGGAGAGGGGAGGGGTCAGGTTACACACCTGAACTTTACTGGGGTTTTTTTTTGTTTTGTTTTTTTAAATAAATAGAATTATGGACGTAGCCTTAAGATTAGGGTCAGGATTAGCTTTAGGAACAGGTAAGTTAAAGGGATTCGGGATTTTTTACATAAATCTGTGTGTCATCCCCGTGAACAGTGTCGTGCATCAACACTGACTTACCCCCGACAGCGTCCGGTGAACCGAGATACTGGCCATTTTCAGTGCTGATGAAAGTCGTCCGGCAAGTTGGCTGGGGACTATATATTAAAGCATTTTTCTTCTCAAAACAATATGTGTTCAAAAAAGTGATACATTTGGATCACAAAACCATCGTCGCCTAAAAAGGCAGACCTCATTAATCATCATTGGCACTATTTTCTCTCCGTTCGTATCACTGCACGCTGCCGCCAGGTGACAGCCGCGCACGAATCCATCCCTTTGTTCAGTTGTTCAGGAGTGTTTACATGTGCAGACCGCTGCGACATGAGAGAGCTAACGTGAGAGCTAGAGCCATAAGTATATAAACTTGAATAAGATACATAAGAATATATCTAAAAATGGTGCGAACTCTTGATTCTCCAGGCTGTAACAACAAAAATCTGGCTGAATCTCCACACACATTTCACTGTTTTCCTGTCACGGACTTTGCGTTGAAGAAACTTTGACTTCTTGACTTAGGCTTCAATGTAGAAACCAAACCAGGTAAGAACGAAGAAATGCCGCTATGTTTACAAGAGAACAGACTCAAGAATCAGCTGTAACTGTGTGCAGTAAATCACTCAGTGTCATATCACCAGTGAAGCTTCTACAAAACGTAACTTTATAAGTCGACTGTTATTACTATTGTAAATGTGGCGTACACTATTGGCAGCAGCTACGTGGACGTGTGGATGATTCTATGTTTCTATTAGTCGTCCATGCTTCAGTCACAGTGTCGACTCTATGTTCACTGTGTACGAGTTTATAAATGACGTGATGGTGATTGTCGCTCACTCGGTCTCTCACGGCTCCAGCTTCAACTTGTACCACTTCTCTGTCTCTCTTCTCTCTCTGCTCGTTCTAACTCCATCTGGTGAATTTCGGCATCAGTATTTTCGGGTTCATAAAGATTTCCCCTTGGTTTTGTGGTAAAGGCAAAGTCTTTATTGTCGGTGTTGTAATCAGACATGTTGTCACTAACATTCCAAGCAGTAAACAAAGTGAACCAGGCGCAGCTGTCACCTGGCGACCGCACGCAGTGATATGAACGGAAAGAAAATAGTGCCAAGCGATTATCAGGTCTGACTTTTTTGGCGATGATGGTTTTGTGATGCAAATGTATCACTCTTTTGAACACAGATTGTTTTGAGAAGAAAAATGCTTTAGTATACAGCCCCCAGCCAACTTGCAGGACTACTTTCGTCAGCACCGAAAACGGCCAGTATCTCGGTTCACCGGACGCTGTCGGGGGTAAGTCAGTGTGGATGTACGACACTGCTCACGGGGATGACATACAGATTTATGTCAAAAATCCCAAACTATCCCTTTAAGAGTTTTGGGACAGGTTTGCTATCCTGGAGTCTTGGAAGAACTGAACTTTAATTTTGATTACACCTGGCAATAATGAAATTAACTCCTACAGCACACAGCAATTACTTAGCTTTGATTGACATGGAACACTAAGCCCCACCCCCAGACAAAATGTCAGACATTTAAGGCGTCCTATAAGTGGAGTACATGAACGTTTGGACAGTTCAGTGATGGGATGACCAGAAGCGAGCTCAAAAAAAAAAAAAAATCAAGAAAGTGAGGATTAAGATGGAGGCGCTTCTGTTTAGATGTTAGAAGCCAGCAGGATGTGGAAGTGACCAAGGAAAGACTGTGTTTCACCTTGGTCCACTGAAACGGACTCGTCTTTGGAAACGGGCAATAATGGCCATGAAACTGCAGAGGGCGCCGTCTCCTGTGTACGCCCTGCTTCACGGCACACCTCAGATATTGGCAGGTGAGGTTTCGGGTCGGTAAAATGACAGGTGAGGTTGCTCCTGTCAGACCTGTCTGCTCCTGTCTGCTCTGGGACCACTGTTCCCGCATCTGCCTCTGGAACAGCTGAGAACCAAAGGGGGGGGGCTATTGCAATTCACATTGGACTTACTTGAAGCAGCAGCAGACTCAGCAAATGTGACGACTGAACTTTACATTTTCAGTGCAAAAGGCAGGTTTTCATTTTTAATAACTTTATGACACCCATTTATGAAATCATAAGTCATGTGTCATATAAGCTTCCCGTGTCCAACCAGGAAGTAAAATGATGGACTTCACCAGAATTGTCAAACTCTTTTGCCGAAATTATGTCATTCATGCTAAGTGTTAGTTTGACTTTATGTTCATGATTTTACTCACCAGCAACAGTCAAATATTCTGTCAGCTGAAACCTTAGTTTGACATTAATTTAAGTTAAATATAGATTGCAGTTTCATAACATTTATTTTTAGCAAAACATATTGCTGTAATCACATAACACATTAAATTTGACACTAAACTGTTTGCTCATGCTATTAGCAGATAATGTGGTGTTTGACGCATAGAATCAAAATCATTGATGCATAATACACGTACATATTATATTCCCATTTAACAGGAGCGCATGGACAAGTAGCCTTATTTCTTTGAATGATAATGGGTTAAATCTCTCTAAAGCTTGAGAGACTGTCGCTCCAGGTTCATTTGACGGTCGGCAGATGCAGAAGACATTAGTAATCAAATATCTTCCAGTGGAGATCCTCACATGTTTGCATAGAGCTGCGTGTACTGAGCTAAAAGTGAGTCAGCGTGAACAAGATGTTCAAGTATTAACCATCAACGATGAGTGATTCAGATTTACAAACTCTTTTTTAAGAATCTATTTCTGCTAAATATGTAAAAGTGATCGAGTTGAAGGTTGTAGTCATGTGGATACTGTTTTTGCAATCAAGATGTTTCGGCTCCCATCCAGAAGCCATTTTATGTTTAAAGGTGCTGGCTTGAGACCCTGGGATTTCTACTACTCTGAGTTTACTACGCTGTTTTTGTGAAGAAAGAGAATCTCTTTTAAAATAGAAATGGGGGACTGAGATTTAAGATACCAGCTGTTCACACCCCTGCAATAGGGTGACAGCACTAAGGTTAGCTGTAAACAAGGACAGGGCAATTTCACTCTAAAACTCCCCCCTTGGGCTGGACTTGGGTAACTCAGAGTAGTATAAATTCTAGTATCTCAAGCCAGTACCCTCAAATAGAACGTGGCTTCTGGATGGGAGCTGAAACAGTGTCCAGATGACCACCATAGAAACCTCCTCTACACTGAAACACTCCTGAACAAATGAGGGATTACACTGTCAATTCATATTTTGCATTGCTGTTCTGCATTTTACAGACAAAGTCTATTTTTATTTTTTTTTTATTAAATTTGATTCATTTTTATTTAGTTTAACGTTGCATCATAATGGTGGAGCAAGTTCCTAGTTTGTGAACTTCTGAATGTTGGTGACATCAGATGCAAAGTATCAGTACGTTCAACAGTTTGATCGACTGCAGTGTTGTGTCCATTAGTAGCGAAGCACTCACTGAATCGTTAGTGGGTTCAGTGTTTTCAGATCACCTGCAACATCCACCTTGAAACTGATGGAGTCGTCTGCAGCCTCACACTGGTACAGACCGCTGTGTGTGACCCGGGCCGAGGGAATGACCAAAGCCCTGAGCCTGTCCACGCTCTGGAGCTCCAAGTCGGACAAGGGCGGAGACACCTGCCCATTTGTGGTGCAACTGTCCTCCTGCACCTGTCCATCTGTACCACACCTGTCCCCCTGCACCTGTCGTTCTGGGCTCTGAATGCCACACTCTCTCTGGGGCAATAGCATGTGCCTGTCTTTGTACCAGAAAACCTGTGCAGAGGCTTGGGACACCTCACACTGCAGGACAATGGGACAGCCCGCCTCCACAAACTTGTTCTTAGCCACCACGGGGAGCGAGGAGAACCTCACCGGACACGCTGTGGTATTAGATTTGCAGAGCACAGGTGTTAGGCTTCAAGACACACTGTTAAGACTTAAGAGATACACAACCAGTCAAAAGTTTGGACACACCTTCTCAACATTCAATGCCGCTTATGTTTCCTACTTTCTACATTTTAGATACAAACAGAAGACATCAAATATATGAAGTAAGACATCAGGAATAATGTACAGAAGAAACAAAAAGGTATATCCCCAAAATAGCCACCATTTGCTTTCTGGAAAACTTTGCCAAAACCTTGGCCTTATCTCAGTGAGAGGTTTGAGGAAGTCCCTGAAATTGTTTTCACTTCACAGCCGTACCTTGTCAAGTTTCATTAGTAGAATACCAAGAGTGTGCAAAGCAGTGTGCAAAGAAAAGTGATCAAGTGTGGCTATTTTGAAGAATTTATACTAAAC